CGGTAGTGCCAGTGGCGTAGCTAGGGTTCTCTGGGCCCAGTGCGGATCCAAATTTCTGGGCCCCCAAAGAAATACGAAATATGTGTGATAACCTAATGGGAAACATTTAAACAAAAATAAGCTATATTTGGTTTAGGAAATTTATTTACAGCGTTTTGTGTAAAAAAAATACATTTAAGTTCTATAAACTTATTTTACGTGCTTTCGTATTAGCAAAATCAGCAATAACAGAATTGAAATCAATCGAATCAGTAACTTCACGCTCAATAGATAAAATTGCAAGGTTTGACAATCTCAAGTTGCTCATGGCCGATCTCAGGTAGTTTTTAATTATCTTCAGCTTGGAAAAACTTCTCTCACATGTTGCAACACTTACTCCAATCGTTCGAATGCCGATTTCTATATTCGGAACTGAATCAGTAAGTTTGTACCGATGAATAAAGTTGAGAAGTTCTAATGGTCCATCCTGAAAAATTTGGTCACGTTCCCCTTCCGAAGATACAGCAACGAAGTCTTGAAGTCGTTTTCGTTCAAGAGCAAATTCCTTTTTTGATTAGCTTAAAAATAGTCAGAACTCAGAACTTACAAATTTACTTACCTACCTTTATTTTATTCGTATTGTAACGTGATTTATAAATTCGGGTTCGATTTATATCAATATTTATTAAACAAAACTAAAACACTATAAAAACTGTACAATTTATATCCACTATTTATATTACACACTTCGCAATTTATATCAGATTTTCGCGCTCAATGTTTCGTCCCGCTATCGCGCGCGTAGAAAATTCCAGAGCGCCAAAGGCGACGTCACGTCTGGAGCGTTTCCGTTACAGTATTTCTGCAAACTATCGATCAACCACAGATTTTCAAAAATGTTGCATAATTTTTGTTATCCCGGCCGCGCGGTTACACGGATGAATTATAGGGCCCCTTCATTTCAGGGGCCCGGTGCGGACCGCACCCCCCTAGCTACGCCACTGGGTAGTGCAGTGATAAAGTGTCTTCTTCCAATATGGTAAATGGTACAGTTTTTTGCTTGGAGGGTCCAAAATAATAAGGCTAAGGTACGTTTTTTCCCATTGTTTAATTAGTGCGTAACGTAAAAAAATGTACCTTTTACAAAAAGAACCGCATCTTACCCGTTACCACATGTGTTTGCAAACCCTTGTTTTTTTAGTGGATCGGGTTTTTTCAATTAGTGGTTTTTGTGCATGATCCCTAAAAAGTAGCATCTTATTCGTAGTGAATCCAAAAAAAGTAATTATAAGGTAATTAAATTAGAATCTTTATTGTACCTACAACACGTGTTCAAAGATAAAGTGCCACGTCATTAACGCACCTGCTGCCATTGCAACGCAAAGTTAAGAAAATCTGATTCAAATGATTTCTAACTTGAACTTCTTTGTGAAAAAAATTCACAGTTTTTCAAAACGATTTCTCATTTTTGTGAGCACGGTACGAGGACTAAGTATTTATATCCATACAAGGGTTGAAAGCTCTCAAAAAGCACACGGAATAAGCACTTTCTTTTTCTCGAAAAAGGTTGCTTTTTACTTGAAATCGTGTGTCTTTCACAATCGAAAATATTTGCACAAAATCGGGTTAAAATAACTTCGGGTCGTTTTTTAATGCGACAATAACGTACAAAACGTTGTCAAAATGGTGCGAATAGTAAGAATTCTCTTAAACCCACTTGCCAGTATTTGGCGGAAAACTTTCTTGCAGGGCTATTTGTGTAGGTATTTATCCGTAAGTGCGCTTCCATAACTCCCCAGTCCCTCTTCTTCTAACAGCCTAAATTCAACTTACTTCCCAGTTTGCTGGAATGAATGAATATACAGGGTGTCAATTTTACAACTTGCAGTCGGCCATATTTTCCAAACTAAAGAAGATGTTGAAAATCTTGCAAAACCGGTTCGGGTGTATCGAGGGGGAACCAAAATGATGTTTTGAGTGAGAGTGACAATCCCCCACCCCTTCTTAACCACCCAGCCTCCCCTCTTCAAAATTCCTAAATGGCAACCCCATACTTGTGACACATCGTTGGAAAGCTACTGAAAAATGCTTTCCAGTGGTACCAATAAAGTCAATATTCATTAACACAACAACAACAACACAACAACAAGAACTTCATTTATGGCTGCGAAAATCGCTCATCTTTTAGAACAGCTAGAACGTTTAATGAGAGACATCCCGAGAGAAATGTAAGCCATGCCTATGGATTTTTAAAGAGAGGGTGCTGGGGGGTTAACGGGGAGTGGGGGTTGTCACTCATAACGTCATGGTTCCCCCTCGATACCTCCGAAACGGTTTTGCGCGATTTTCAATATCTTCTTGAGTTTGGAAAATATGGCGTCTGTCCGTGCTTCTATATAATATAACCCTGGCCTACAGCTGAATTTTTACGATAAGATACAATTGCTTAAAACGAATTTTGTTTTAGAGAAAAGTGCTTTGTTTTTAATATAATACAAAAAATATTTCTGTCTGTCCGTCGCTACCTGTCCATGCTTAAATTTCTACTGGCAAGTGGCATTAATTAGAAATTTTTAAGTAACGTTCCGTTGTGTTGAGTACCTAGTTTGGAAATAATTATTTCCGTCCGTCCGTCCATTTGTCGATGCTAATTTTTTTAGCGCATTTTTTAAGAATTAAAAAAAATGTGCTACTGTTTGCGTTTTGTCCGTCTGTTCGCCGGACCCACCTCTCCCGTTTCGAACTATTTCTAGGGGAATGGTCCTAGAGTCCTGGAATTTTTTGCAGTAGGTAGTCTATACCTTGAAGGTGTGCCAGACGGGCAACAAATTTCGCTGTCTAAAAGGGGGGGGCCCCCCACGAATTATTTCCTGAGATGCTGTTTTTGAAAGTAAAACGTGCCTAACTTTTACATACGACAACCATATTGGTCTCAGATTTTGCATACGCATGCCTTTAATGATGCCAAGTTTAGAAAATGGGGGGGGGGGGGGGTTAACACATGTTCTACCCTTCATGGTATTCTAATGAAAGGTCTCTTCGAAATAAATTGGTTTGTACAAACCATAACTTTCCCGTGCGACTCTTTTTCGAAATCAGTGAGCGACGGGGCCTGAGGGGGAGGGGAGGGAGTTAAAAATTAATTATATCTCTCATTGTATTTTAATTAAAGGTCTCATCGAAAGGATACCGTTGTCTACCAACTACTGTCCTTCTTTCTGTCCCCTTATCAAAATACAGGGTGGAGGGGGATGGGGGGGAATGAGTGGAAATAGTTTTATCCTTCATGGTACTCTAATGAAAGGTTTCAACGAAAGGAATTAACTTCTACCAATCATAGCTCTCCTCCTCGACCTCTTATAGTGGTCGGGTATATTCCCTTATACCTCAAAAACGGATTGTCGGAAGAGGGTACTCATAAAGGGCGATTGGGACATCTGCAAGAAATATATCCCTTGGTGATGTCAAAACAAAAGCTATTTCGGTAAAAAAAATGCGCTTTATCTGCACAAGAGTTGTGCACAATTTATACTTGTTAAATTTTCATTTTGTAAAAAGACACTTTTAGCGTACAAAGGAATATTTCCGCGTGTCAGTTTTTCTATGTGCCCATTCCTTCGACTACATTTCCACTGAAAGGTGCTGTAATCTTCGAAACCATCAAACGAGCCTGGATTTCGGTGTTAATATAATTAAATACCTGTTGGTTTTGCTGTCTGTCTGTTTCTGGCCTCTAGGAATAAAAAATTCTGATTTATGGTGCGGTTTTACTGATTTTTGAGAACGGAGAACCCACGTTCACTCATAGAATAGGTACATTATTAAGGATTCTCAAAACTTTTATAGTTTTGTATGGTTGTCGTACTCGTGTGTGTTCGCTATAATTGTTAGTTAAGATCTCCTAAATGCTTTTAATTTTTGTCCGTGTACACTATAACTCTTTTTAAAAGTAGACGATCGTGTTGAAATTTGGTGTACGGTAGGACGCTATTAGTTTTCAGGAATCTGGCTAAACAGGAACAAAAGTGATAGCACCTCGAGTGAATCGGAAATAGGAAAAACGGTGGGCTCAATATAGTAAAAGTCAACATATTTTATTCCCCAAGTCATGTATCGAGTTTCCCTATGACGCTCATATGTGTAACAATTGTCTAGGCCAAAATGTACCCAAAACCAAAAATGATTCTTTCCACACGAATTTGGCGTTGTAAAAGCTTTCAAACGCACTAAACTTATGCCGAAAGAGTACATCACATGCACATTTCATATCCGCGTTTGATTCATAGATGTTAAACTCTTTTTCTAAGGCCACATTTTGACCAAAACTTGCAAAATCGTTATTCTTGAGCAAGTTGATATTCCGTTGTGTTTATTAGTTTGATAGGATTTTGAACTCGAATTTTTTGTTTCAGATTCCAGAAGGGCAGCCTTATAAAGGTAGGATTTTTCTTTTTTGTGCATGTGTTATGGCATTTTTTTGTGTATTTAGCAAGGGGGGAGTGAATAGTGCATATTGTGATTAAAAGGAAGAAAAGGTAGGTATTAGGTACATTAGCTGATTTTCGAATTGTAATACTAAGTGAGTTGTGCCCGTCTACCCAACCTATCATCTTGCTAACGTAGGTCTAACTGCAATATTTCTTCGACTGGTCCCTCTCACGATATAATACAGTTTACATTAATCAGTATGGCTGTGTATAGTCATACCAAAGAGTACCCATAATACTCTTTGGTCATACTAGTTAAAGCAAACTGATTCTTCTTCTTGGTGGGAATCCATGGTGGTAAAGCTCAAAACGGGGTCAGAAAGTAGACAGTTGAATAGGAATTTAACACACTAAACCTTCCCCATACTTCTTTATTAAAAAATTGTGAATAAAATCACATAGCGACTATAGTTTCGACCTAAGTCATTTTCCTACAGCTTGAAAATGACTTAGGTCGAAACTATAGTCGCTATGTGATTTTATTCACAATTTTTTAATAAAGAAGTATGGGGAAGGTTTAGTGTGTTAAATTCCTATTCAACTGTCAAACTGATTCTTCTTGAGAATCAGACTATGAATCCATATTGTAGTCAATTCTTCTGTTACATAGTTGAGTCGCTTCGATGACAGTGATACCACATTTAGTATTTGACAAAAATCAGCTTAAAGATTTTCAAATGCAGGTAAGTAATTACATTACTATATGCGTGTGTTCGCTTATAATCGTTTTAGTCCAAAGAAAGTTGTCGCTGATAAGACAATTCGTTAAGAAGCGAACATACCCGATAGTTGATTTTAAAGAGAATGATGGGCCTACTTACTAATCTTTTCTACTGTCCGCAGGGCAAGAAGTGGTTAAATACTTCAAGACACAGCGCGGGATCTCCATCTCTGGCGAGGTTCCCACTTCTCACATGGAACAACACTAGCCTAGGTTCTATTGGCCTCTGTTCAGGCGGTAAGTGTATAATGAAAATAAACCGATTTGGATCGCGTAATACTTCTTAATTTCTCTAACGTTGCATATTGCTCATTGATCTTATGTGACTAGCTTTGGTATCAATTTCAATGTTACACATAAATAAATCATCAATGGTACTAGAGCTTTTTGTATAATGTACTTTCTACATTGCAGTTACCTCCAACTGGTCATGCCTGTTTGCCAGTACGAACGTGAACGGGTGCGGCTGGCAGCGTGTGTTCGCAGTCTTCCCAGGCGAGACCCAAAGAATAAGGCTAAGGGTAAGTTGTCAATTTTTAATTATGATTGTAATATTTACAGTAAAATCTAAACAAAAGCAAATGTACCTAAGGGCAGTCTGTTCAAGAAATGAAAGATTTTTTTTGTTTAAATTTTCTCTTAAGGACTCTCAATAAAGTATTTGACTAAGAATCGTTTGGTACCTTTCTACATCTTTCTAATTAATTTTTTGTTTGTTTCAGATTCTAGAAGAGCAGCCTTATAAAGGTAGGATTTTTTCTTTTCTATGCATGGGCTTTTTATTTTTTATGTATTTAGCAGTGGGGGAAAAGTGAATAGTGCCTATAGTGATTAAAGTGAAAATCAGCGATTAATTTTAGCAATACTTCGTGTTGTGATTCTAAATAGGTTGTGGTCATCTCCGCGGCTTACCATTTTGGTGACCTACGATTAACTGCAATAATTCCTCTTTCGCGATGTCAATCAATTGACCTCATGCACAGCAGTAGGACTATGAGTTCATAGCCGTACTGCTTACGTGAAGTAAATTGATTTTCTCTGCGAGTTACTATGAAGAAGTATTGCAGCTAATTATTACGTCCTCAAGGTGAATGCCTTTGAGGGTGATCATAGTCCATTTATTATCACACGAAGATCTATTTATTCGTTTCTAAAAACAAGGTGAGTAATTAAATCGTTATAGACGTGTTCGCTAATTAATTAGTCTTATCCGATCCCATCATGTGATGAGGCTAATTATTAAACGAACACGCCTAGAAGTATACTGTGATGGTCGTACTGATCTCATCAATTGTTCACAGCACCATCTGCACCTGCTGGCCAGGATTTATCATTATCAACACCTGTGATGGACCAGATCGGATATGTCTACCCTTGATTTTGGCGAACACGGTGAGTTTTGATGGATCAAAAGTTTTTAATCGCTTTATTTGCTCATTGATAATTTACCTTTGTAAAACACCTACAGATTTTGATCTCATACTTTGTCGGTTTATAGTATTTTTCCTTTTCAGTTATTGCATATGAAGCTATCCGTACCTCATCATTCCAGTTTACCAGTTGGTAGTCCATCAACGTCAACAAGTGCGATTATCTCCTGTTGTTAGTGTACCTTCCAGGCGAGACCCAATCAATAAGGCTAAAGGGTAAGTTTTCAACCCTAGAAAAACATTCCCATGCATGCGGTCATTACGCCACCCACAAAACACCTGTCCATCTAGATCAAAACAAATCAAAATTGAAACTTGGGATTTTATAATCTCTCTTCGTACACATGCGGTATCTGCCGTAGTGAAAAATCCTAATTCTGACTTCAAATTTCTCAATTTGAAATTTGGTGGCCTCGTTTCCAAAGAATTTATTACACAATACCTAAAATAAATCTTGGACACGAATAGAACAATCTGACATGAAAACTTTGGGTTCGACTAACCACACAAGTAATTGATTGGCAATGCCAACAAAAATTATTCCGACACATGAAAAATTATAACAAAATTCCTAAAAGACAGAAATGCTGTTTGGACATATTCCCCCGCACGCAGGAGGGCGACAATTACATAAAGAACCTTGCTTTGCAATTTAATTATCCAAATAATTTGTTCGTAATAATTGTGCGATATTCAGGCGCACTTAGCACTGACACAAAAACACTCACTGACAGCGCTACAGTCGTAGGGAATGTATTTAATGTGTCCCAAATTGCCTCAGGTCACATGACTTTTCGATCGGCCCGGTCTGCATATACCGTAGGCCGCGATTTGGCAACCTTTTCTTACTGCATCCTTATGTACTTTTTTGTTTCAGATTCCAGAACGGCCGGCTTCTAAAGGTAGGATTTTTCCTTTTTATGCAGGGACTATGTTTTTATGAAGTTACTTAACGTTCGCGTTCTAATTCTTATCATGATGACGCAAGACTGACTGCAATTATTTTTCGGGTTAAGTTATGAAAAGTATTGGGGTTAATTTTTCGTTCCCAAGGCGAATGTTTTTGAGGAATAACGAAAATTGACACAAAACCATCGAGAAAAAACAATAAAGCTTTAATAATACATACTTACCCGTTTCGACAGCAAAGCTGTCATCATCAGGGAAAAACTAAATGTGAAAGTACAAACATAACAATCTAATTTACGTCTACTTTACTTTACTTGCTTAACAGAATAAATATTATCTACTCTTCAAGCTTATGTGCGGTTACGCTCTCTTCCTCTCAACAATTGTATTTGAAGTGAGCCATGTGCTTTAGTATAAGGATGATGATTTGGGAATTTAACAATCGCCAATTACGGTTATAATTAGTTCTTTGGAAACACCATTACTTTGATGAGGAAAACTCTCTATCCTGATTTATTTTAATTTCTGTCTCTCTCTCTATTTCTACATCGGTATTTACGGAGCGATTCATACGTACAGAATTCATTTTTGCCTTACTATATTCTACTATTGGTAAAAAAAACCTGAGACGTGTATTTTTTATTTTTAGTTTGACAAATTATAGTACGAAAATATTACCCATCTCTATCGCTCCGTCTGATTTATAAGCAACTCCCGAAAATTAAAAAAAGGAGGTCGGGTGGCGCCTGTTTGGAAGGGATTTTAATTCTCTGTCTGTCTGTCTGAATTTTGTGCAATCATAACATAAAGTTAATTTTGATAATGCTTCCAGTAAAAATCATAGTATATTGTTATGTAAACTACGTCATGCGGACATTTTTATTATCATCAGTACATATAGTAATGATGGGCCATCCTGTATAATTTTAATTTTTTAAGGCTAATTGTGGATGATAATTTGGACGGAACACACATTTTGATTTCAATTATTGATGTGCATTAGAATTATTATATGTTTAATTTTGTTTAAATAATTTGATTGTTTTATTGTTCAGTTGGATTTAGTTAAGAAAGATTGGGGACATCTGCAAATAATTGTGTTAGATGTTTTTTTAAAAGTTTATCTCATTTAAATCCGGTCTTGAGATATGATTCATCTTCAAAATTAATTTTCTCAGTTATGAGAATTAAACATTTTTTTCAAACTAGGTGCTACACGACCCCGTTTCTAATTTAAAAAGAGAGTGCTTATAATTCGGAGGGGGCAACATTTTCATACCATAAAATATCGAATCAAAAATAGAAATCGTTCTCTGTCAGGTTTTTCCCAATAGTCCATAATAACGTTAAAAATTAATGTATTCCATACATACGGACCGTTTTGTATGCCCATCCATAGAAGACACTCCACATTAAAATAACTACCAAACCGTGGCGGGAAAAGCGCGATAGTGATCTAGTGGTGGTGTTTAGTGACGAAAATCAAACGGTAAGTGAATCTTCGGAGGTTCAGTGGGACCACTTGGGGCAGCTGCGGATGGGCAACGCCCCACCTCCATATTTTTTAATTCAATTTATTTATTTTGTTACGCATCTTAGTCGCAATGGTACCGTTTACCTATAGGGTAAAGGAAAAGGAAAAGGCCAACGTGTTTCATTCTTCCGACACCCCGAGGGATATCGGAGGCGGGTTGCTCTGGGTTTCCTGGCCCTCTTCGGCCAGAGAACGGGAATTACGGAACGGAGTTAGAGTGCTGAGAGGGAAGAGTACTGCTCCAGCATTCGCCTCATAGATTTCGAAGCTATGTACGTCTGAGGAAACCCCAAGACAAAGCAGTCGTCAGTGGGATTTGAACCCACAACCTCCCGAATAGCAGTCGGCAACTCAACCACTACGCCACCGGCTTCGGTACCTTTAATGTGCCAAGTGTTCCAATCCTACTTCTGTTTTGATCTGACCGCAGTTCCTCAATTCGTTGACAGTGCCGTTGTCATCGATAATTCTAGATCAAACCAGGGTGAGTAGGTACAGCAATTTTTATAAACCGATTTTGATCATCTACTTTCAGAATAAGTGGAAATAAGACCCAGAAGAACAATTCGCGTCCCTGTTACTCTCGGTATGCAGTCATTGCGGCCATGGGTTAGTCAGAAATCCGGTGGGATACTACCTACCTGTTGTAGAATCATACGCAACACATAAACGACGAAGCGCCCTGGTCGATTAGTGGGGTGATCACGTAAATTGAGGTAATTTTCTTTTTTCCATAAATTTCGAAAATTATTGAAACATTTAAGTGGTCTCAAAGATAGAAAAATGATATAATGTACGATTTACGATTTAAAGTTTGCGATCCAGGTTGCGAATGTCTGCACTAAAAGCTTTCAGAATTTAGACCACTTCTCTAGTGTAAAATCAAATATTAAAATTTTAAGGGGGGTTTATAAAGTACAAAAATCGGCAAATCGACGCGTTCAAGAGTTCAAAATTTAGTGAATACAACAAACCTGAATTAAAAAGCCAATTGCATTTCTAAGCTCGACATCTGTATGTCTTCTTACTGGAGAATAAGGCACTTTTTAAATTCTTGGCGCCGAAACGGTCTTCTGGCCAGAGCCGGCTCAAGGCGAAAGTTACGTGTAAGCGATCACTAAAATTTGCGCCTCTGCCCGCCTTTCTAAAGTCTGAACAATGGGAATTTTTGGCAAGCAAGTTTTTAAAAATGAAAAAAGTTTTCGCCATGAATTCATCAGTACTTCCGGTTTGTGTGTACAAAGGAAAATAAGTTATGGCATAAATATTCTTATAAATACGAAGCTTAAGATTGCGTAGTCTGCGCATGCACACACCTGATGTTTAAAGTATGCGATATGTTTGCCTTTGCTAGAAGAATCTCTGGTCAAAATTTAAAAAAATCTCTATAAATAAGAAAGTTGACATTGCGTAGTTTGCGCATGCGCACATCTGATTTTTACAATATGCGATATGCTTGTCTTTACTAGAAGCATATGTGTTTAAAATTTTAAAGAAATATCTCTATAAATAAGAAAATTGACATTGCGCAGTTTTTGCATCGTCAAGATTTTTCTTGGTTGAGGTGCCAGAGCTATTAGCTACCGAGTGCAAAAGGAACGAACTACGAGTACATATCTTGAAAACTGTAGAAGTAGTTAAGGCCTCGGACGGACAGACGGACGGAGAAAGTGGCCATAATAGCGCCTTCCACAATGAGTTGGAAAATGCGCTAAAAATACAGGTTGTTAACTATGTCATGCAGATATTTCAGGGGGTGTTAGCACTCGTCAAAATAAGAAAAAATGCAAATATGTGCGTGGTGTATAAGGACACCATTTTTGTTATACAGGGAGGCAAAGTTTCAATTTTGTCTCTCTTGTGTTCTAGGATAATTTTTAGAATCTCTACAATAAAGTATCAAAATATAGTTGGTCGCAATATATAGGGTGTTGCATTTTCTTTGTCATCCTGTATAACGAAAACGACGACTTTTAGACCAATTTTTTCATATTGTGACGAGTATCACTCCCTGAAATATTTGCATGAAATTAATTAACACTCTGTATAGAGGTTCATTTATTATACTACCGAATTTCGTACCCCCGCTAATTCCAATTTAGCGGAATTGAACATTAGGTTCACATTACTATTTGTAGGTTTATTGTGTTCTCACATTTTTTTTTGAGAAGCAAAGTTGTACAAAAATGGTACAGAGTTTTCCGAAGGGATAACGCGTTTGCTATTAATGAATATGCTTCCCGTGTACGTATTTTTACGTCTGTGGTCCGTCAGTCATTAACCATGAGTAATTTTTGCGCCCCTTCTTGTCTGCGGCGTAAGCGACGGGTTACACCGCTTACGCCTAAAGCCGGCCCTGCTTCTTGCTATAAATTGGTTCTATTCGAATGTAATTATATTATAATTATCATTGTAATTATATTGCGAAGACACTTTTCCATCTTGTTGCTTTAATCGCGCGACATTTAGTAGGGGACAGTTGCCTGCGCGGTCTCAAAGAGCACGAACGCTTCTTACTTGACCACCATCTTGGTTTGAGCGGCCATAGAGAGAGCGTTTATTTAATGCAGGTAGTAATCTTTGCATATCTTTATAATTTATTTGTGTTCAACAGCGACATTTTAGTTTTTTTTTTATAATTTTTAATCTTTGTTTTGAAATTGACATGATTTAATATCAATCGTTTTCATTTTTGGTGTAAATGTTTATTCAATTTATGATTTTAACTTAGGGCCAAGACTACGGTAGTCTTGCAGGTAGAATTTATATTTTGCGATTGCTAGATGTATGTATAGATTTGTTGTTTGTAAAATAATATCTTTTGTCCTCAGAAGGCAATCGTGTGAATGTTTAATCCATAACCACTGAGAAAAGAGTGTAGGTACTACAATAAACACCATTTTAATGAACGTATAAAACTGTTATTTATGTATTGAATGATTTAGGTAACAACTATTAGTCAAAAACGAATCTGACATACATGGCTACTGTTATTGTTCTTTTCTTTTAACAAAATAAAGTCGTTGAACGCCAAACACAAATATATTCAGGTTACTTCAACAAATCACAGGGATGTGAATACTGTAACCACACTAGTAACCTCTAAAGCTATGATTAATCGCGCATGTCAACCATAGACTTGAAATTTCCGCACGAGAACCAAAGTTACCCTTATCCGACCCTGCTAACAAAAGCTCTTGAGTTGTGATTCGATAATTTCCACATATTATGTCGTTAATGTCGAATTTGCCTCCAACGCCATGCAATTTGCCTTTGTTACCCCAACCAACCAACGTAAAGGATCTCTGCCTTAGACTTTTGATCGCGTGCCACTTTTCTATTTCAAATTTAGGCGGGATCCGATTAGATCCCATTTTTGTCTCATTTCTTAAAGAGAGAGAGTTATTTGCTCTCTCCTGTGGTGACATTTAAGTGTTTTTCATAGTTGACGAAATCTGAAATTCCTTTATAACGCTCAGCTTCAGAGATGTCATTACCACCACACGACTACATATAGAGGATCTCACAATCAAGTCTGTAACTTCAATTTTTAAGTTTACCACGTCTGGGGTTTGATATCATGTTTGAGCTTTTCTCTTGAGAAAAACATTGACAATTCTGGCGATTTGTCAGTTTAGATATAAAAACACGAAGTAAAATTTCCAAAAAATTTTATTAAAAATTACAATTCTCAAAGCGTTTAATTAAGTTGCGATTATCTAAGAACGATGGTAATTATTAAGACTACTGGCAGTTTGTTTTTGTTGTTGCGTAAAGTAGTATTTCAAAAAGTGTACACAGTGCTCGATTCGTTCCCGCAACAAACCGGTACTGCAACCTAACAAAGTACCACCAAGCACACACGAATCGAACCGGTCCATTTCAGTTCAATTCAAGCACCGATTTCTAAAATTAGTAATGGATACGTGCTTAAGGATACAGTTTCAGTGATCGGCGTTAATAAATATTTTTGTTTCTCTTGATCTATACTGAGGTAATTCGTTATCACTTTCATACTTTTTTTTTATGTGCATATGGAAGTAAAATCCGGTATCCCGGGTATATATGGGCCTGTACCGGTGTTTGGTATGTACAAATGTCTCGACTCGTTAGTAGTATCTAAGGCTGAGCACTTCGAAGGGAGCTTCTATGTCAGATTCAAAATCGGATTCGTCGTAATCTACTGGTTCTCGATTGATCGCCGGCAAGTAGAAGGAGAAAGCTTTCTGCTATTCTTCCGTGAGTTCCCACAGCATTAAACTGGCGTCTGTTCCTCCTACCGTGACAATATTGCGATCGTTAAAAAGAAACCGGGCCGACGCGATCTGTCCGCTGTACACTTTCTCCTCGTTGTATTCCGCCTTCGGCGTGAAGCAGGGGTACCTGAAGAATGAAAGGTTAAACTTCAAACTGTCTCTCTACCGCGTCCATACCTGAAGAGCCTAATGTACCCGTCGGCATCACCGCACACTAACAAGTCATGCGCCGCCGATCTGTTACAGGTGCTAATTATTGACGTCATGGGATAAAATCGGTTGTTCCAGATTCCGGATACTAAAAATCCGACTGAGGAGTTGTAAGTGTGCCATTTGACATCTTTCATTGCAATGGGGCTTTTTTCTGGTGACAGAGATTTGATGTCCCCTACAGCGGGAGGTTACACCGACTAGTCGCACACTTTATACTTACAGAACGTGAGGTCGTAGTCGGCGGTGACGGTTTGTAAATAGTTGCTGTCTGAGCTCCAGTCCAACTGTATTAAAGGCTGAGAGCCTCGTATTTTGTTAGATTTCTTGTAAGAGAAGCCATCTCTACTGACACGGAACAGATAAATACTTCCATTCTGCGAGGCAATTGCGATTAGATCTCCGGCTGTGGACGTTGATTAGCCTTTGATTAGTGGAAGAACATGCTCACCTGCGTTATATCCCACGCTGCTCAGCGGAGAGCCGCACACTCTGATCGTTGTTGTAACCACTCCCGTTTCGGCGTTCAATACTATGAGATGGCCTTCGGTACTGCCCGACGCTAAAGCGACACCAAACGGATGGAAGCTTAACGAAATGCACTCATAGCTCACCTAGAAATTAACACCTAAATCATTGGAGTCTCGAGAAGGTCACTTACTTGAGTAGTCCACACTGGTTTGTGTTTCCTCCACAGCGCAATAACTTTATCATGTCCGGCCGTTGCGAAAAGCTCATCGTCTGGATGAACAGCCAATCCCCACAGTTGGCGACTGTGCCCAAAGACAATCTACAACAGCGTAAAAACTATAAGCAGCCCCACTTGTGACTTACCTGGTTGAATCTTCTCTGCAGAGATCCCTCCATGATATTGTTTTTAGTCGTGCCAACGTAAATATTTCCATCGTTTCGTCCTGGTCGCTGTGGGTAAATGGAACGAACTCCTCCCGCTACCTCGGGCAACTGGAACACAAAGGTCAGTCTGTATTCGCGCAGCAACCCACATTACTTTGGCATCCGTTATCCTCTTATAGTTTTGGAGGGAATCCCACGCAGCTATCCTTCGGTCTTTCTCGCCACCGGATAGCAATGTTCCTTCTGATAGCATGATTAGGGTGCTCACTCCTTTATTGTGCGCCTACAACGTGGTGGGGTAACAATGAGTTGGCCAGCGTGAGTCTACTCACCTCGAATTCCATTCGAACGAAATACGCGCCATCACTGTCGACGCTGTAAACCGTAATGAATCCGTCACTGTCTGCCGTAATCACATCGCCATCTTGTTCGAACTGCAAACTGGTGATCAGTGTGCGAGAGGGCTGAAAATGTTCATTATTCCACTAGTTCTGGCGAGACAACCACTTACAGGCTTGATAATGTCGGTACGTTCGAAGAAACCATCTTTTCGTCGATTCCAAAATGTTAGATGTCCCTTTCCGAAGGTGATGAGCAAGTTGTCGTCGAGTGGATGAAACGCGGCTCCAGATAATTCCTCTTGCAATGTCTGGAAGTTAGTCTCAGAAATTGCGAGGCCAATACCTGTTGATACTTACGGCGACTTTCCCCAGGAGGTGCCCCCACTGCCATTGCCATACTGACAGTATACTTTCGCGTCCACCATCAACGGCCATCACGTAGCTGCCTCCATTCTACAACGCAACAATTACTAAATAATAAACGAAGGGTGACTAACCAGCTGCGAGAAGGTGACGGCGGCCACGCCAACTTCGAATTCGCCCATACCGAAAACGTACAGCGTTTGCAACGTTTCGGTGCTCCATATTCGGATGTGTGCCTGCGTTTTGCGATTTCTCCCAGCCTTTTGACCGGAGGCTACCATCTCTCGAGAGGGATGAAGGTCCATGCTGAAAAGTTTCGTTGAGACGTCGAAAGCGAAAGGCGCGCGTTACCATTGAATATCTTCCGTGTGGCCGATGTAGTGCCTCTGCGACTCCTCGTCCCTGTCGTACATTATGGCGACCGCCGCCACGTAGTAGAGCAACTCGCCGGTCGGTAAAACCCACAGGTTCTTGCGCGAGTCTAAACCCCTGTATCCGTATCTGTGTTTATGTCAAGGAGAAGTCGAGCCAATTTCTGGAGTAGTGGTGATGGACGCAATTAAACGAATTAATATTAAATTAATAATTAATTAATTAAAAATGGATCCACTTGGTTTTGTGTCGGTTCGATAGGGTAGATGATCCACTCTCTCAACAGTGGACACCTTGTGATCGATTACCTCGCATGAAGTTCGTGATCGTATTCCATTCACACATTTGCATATTTAATGTAAAGTAGGTATAACTGTTCAATGATAAATATGCAAAAATCCGCACCCCATATTTTCAGAGACACAATTCAGACAAAAACGATATACAATTTCTTAATACACCCTACCTCAAATTCCAACAACGATCAGAAAAGTAGTTCATCCCTCATAGCATCACCAGTAGGTTGCACGCTCTATAAAATTAACGGGATCGAGTACTCTTGAACGCAAATTCTATTGAGGCGAATGTACCTGGGTGTGGGCCATATGGAATACCCCCCAGCACAAGGAGGACACTCTCGGAAAAAACATTTAATAAACATTTTACTGAAAGCAACTGTCATGGTAGTTTCTGAGAAAAGGTAATCGAGCTTTCCTGTGTTGGGGATATTGGCATACCCCCACAGCCTAGGGGGAGACAAGTACCATTGTTGGTGTGTACACCAAAAATTCAAATTAATTCCCGTCAATTCAAGTTAATTCACGTTAATTCAAATTAATTCACGGTAATTCAAGAGAATTCGCGTTAGTTCAAATTAGTTTACATTAATATACGTTAAGTCAAATTAATATACGTTAAATTCAAATTAATTCACGTTAATTCGCGTTAATTCACGTTAATTCGAATTAATTCACGTTAATTCAAATGAATTCGCGTTAATTCAAATTAATTCGCGTTAATTTAAATTAATTCGCGTTAATTCAAATGAATTCGCGTTAATTCAAATTCGCGTTCTCCCAGATAAATCTTTTCTAACGAGATTTTTCATACATACAAGTTGTAAGGGCTATAGGTCTTAGGGAGAACATAGTACCGGGGGCCTGGGATCCCCCCCCCCAGCCCCCACCACAGGAAGGATATTCCACTGGAAAAAAGATTTGCTAAATCTTTTCGAAAGTATCCGTCATGGTAGTTAAAAAAAATGGTAATCGATCCTTTTCTATGGAGATTTTTTATACAGGGTGGCCCACTGAAAACAGTCAATGCCAATTTTGCCAACTTAACGACAGTTTTGCCAGAAACGCTCGAACACGTCAATTTTAGTTTTGAGGGGCTCACTACATTAAGTAATACTACTTACATAACTTTAACCTTGAAAAGGGGGTGAATTGCACCCCAAAAATTTCAAATGGGAAGAGGTAGTAAATGTTATAGATAGGCCGAAAGGAATGTTCATTATGTTTTCAGAACTGTTTTTATTTTTCAAATCAGATCAGAGAAAACTGCCATGGTAGCGTTTGAAAAAAAAGCCGTCATTCGGAGGACGAATTGTTTAAAAAGCGATCCTTTGGGCTATAGCGGTCGTTCTGGTGAGCTACTAATACGGTGGGAGCGAAATGCTTTTGGAGGGGAGAGGCAGACGCTAGGGTGCTTGTTCTTGAGAGCGGAATTTATTGTAATGCAAATCTAAAGCGAATTTCCTGATTGAGGGACAACTCAACTTCGCGCAATTCATGACTTTTAATAAATCGCGTTTTTAGGGGAATTTTTCGAAAGGAATTCCCCTTAGCGACGGTGTTGTCTGTCCGTCTGGTCCTCCTCGTAACTCGAGAACTCGATCGCTTTCTACGAGTTCAAGGATCAGTTAACGAATATGAGCCGGATTAAAAGTCGTGTTTCTGAATGCGAGCGGAATGTCCCCTAGTGAAAATAGTGTGTGATTCTACGCTACAAGGATCATAGAAAAGAATCGGCTCGCACCCCTTATGCAGAAAGCACAGATGATTTCTTCGCATCCATAAGTAAATGTAATGAATAATCAGCCCCACGTTGGCCGCCATTTTGTAACGGGTGTTACAAATAAAAGGGTTATAGAAATAATAGTATTTTTACGGTGCGTCCGCTCCGCCTCGGTGAACGCGTACCTTAATTATTACAGTACCTCTTAAATGTCGTGTCCTGGAATTGCTGATTTTCATCTCCTATAAAGTCGGTACGGCCCTTCGTGTAGATATGATACCTTCTCAATTGCTCTACCTATGTTAATAGAGTGTAGATCTCAAGGAGATCTGCATTTGGCCTCGTCAGGATTCTGATGAAATTTCGCGGGTATTGAGTGGTTGTTTTTTGTTGTCTACTGTCAGGAAGAATTTCGTTTCCCAATGTGATCTACTCCAATTAAAACGATCCCTGATTCCAATTGTCAGATTAATCCTTTCTACGTAATCTCATACGAAATACATCCTAATAACTCTCGCCAGGAAAGATTGCCGGTCACAGCACACTTTGTGTCGATTTACAATCTATGTTTTTCTTAAGATGCGAGCGACTTCCGGAATAGGATCATGCCAATGTTGAACGAAACGTCTTTTTGTTCAACATTGACACGATACTATCCCGGAAGTCGCTCACATCTTTAGAAAAACATAGATTGTAGACCGGGATCAAGTGTTCTATGACCGGCAATCTTTCCTGGTGAGAGGTTTATCTAACTTTTTGTTATTAGTTCTTGAATATACCGCGATGTCGCTTTTGCACTCATAATCCCTCTTGAAACGATTTTTAAGGCACTTAACAAGTTTGTTACCGGAATGCCTTGGTGGAAATTAAACCGTACCGTAATCCTTTTATTCTCGGTTTGCGGACTACGATCTTTACGTCATCTTCGCGTGCGAAAAAATAACGTTTACTTGAGCTCTAAATAGGGCCCAAAAACGAATGCCCGAAAAAACAAACTTCTTTGGCCAGAACGACAAAATTCCCTATGCTATTGCTAACTTGACGAGGGTCCATAGTTACAGAATAGCTTAGAAGAAGGTGCTATTTATGTTGCACTAATCGCGTGTTGCTAGAGAGAGAATGGATGGACTGCGACTCCATTCCGGATCATTCTCCACCATCCGATCCTTCAGATCCAGATCACCTTTACTGATCTGACTTCAGCACCGTTCATTTGGGAGGGGACGGTATAGAACAATAGGAGGTAGGTACACAATGACCTTGAAGACGAGCAGAGTGTCAGATAGAGTGTAATAATGGCCATGACGTCAATACATAAGAAATTGTATTGACTCTGCCAAAATGCCCGTGCAAGAATGAAAATTATGCATACAACGATTATGGTAATCGTGCATGCAACGTTTAAAGGATACACCCATTCCAACTGCATTTTCTTATCCGGTGGAGTATTGTCGACCGGCGCATGGTGAATTGGAGGATAAAACGTTCTTCTGAGCCCCTTAATCGTAACGCGGATAGGTTCCTCTTTGAGCACTTCCAGTAGAGTGTAGTCTAGGAGAGGTACTGAGTTTCGCTACTTTGCTGACGCACTTACCATTGGTCCTAATTATTTCATTTTCCGGCGCGTACAAGGCTCTCGGGCGACTTTTACTCCTCGCTCGCCTCTGTTTGCTTAGATCTTCTACGACGGCCGCTTGGGGCGCACGTGCACGCGATCTTCTAGCGGGCGACATCATCACGGCTGCACCAACCGAACCAATTCCCAGATAGAAAGTGTCCTCGTCGGCGAATTCATTACGCAACTGCGAGAAACTGCGCACCTCCTGGCCGGACACGGTAAACATCCTCTTCGCTCCGTTCATTTTCAGCACCTGCCCCAAGTCTTCGAGCACCTCTTCAAAGGGTTGAGTGGTGCGTAAGTTTAACAGCACGCGACACTAAAAATTCCGGTTGTTAGTGAGAGATATCGGAAATCGGAAAGCTCACCTGCACGGTGTGGTCCATGTTGTTAATAATGCGTATGACCCTCCCCGAGCTCGGTTTGATGGTCCCTCCACCCGGAGGTGGCACGTCCACCTCAACAATTGAAGCTTTCCGACTGACAGCTTTGCTCCAACCTTGACCTCCGGGCGCCGCGTACCAGATGCCATTCTTTTTTCCGTAACTCGCAGGCTGCATCGAGAACAAAGTGCGTTAAAGCTGAGGAAGATGCGTGGAAATGCGTACCATCGTCGGCAAAGATACGACTGCGAATGGTGTTACTTCGTCTTCGAAATCAATATCGAGCATTTATTTTAGTTTTAAAAAGGAAGCGTGTACGCGAACTTTCTCACTCAAAATTCACCCTTGGAATGGAGGTATAATCCGCGTACTGCTCCAAACTTTGATAAATAATTTATGATTGAATGTGCTAATGAAGCGATGGTGGGGGTTGCTCAAGGTCAAGGGATTTAAGGTGGGGAAAAGTGCTCTGACGTGATTCGAAGTGGTTGACCCGTTCATACAATGTAAAAGCTTATCGTCGATCTCCCGCTTGTACAACCTCCCGTTGCACGTAGAGAAGCATTTTCTGCGTTCTGCTGCTAGTGGGGTTTGCTTAATTGTTATCGACTCGACTTATGCATATTCGCGGCGAAATCACGATAATTTATGCACATCTAATTGCGCGACCAAATTTTTTTTTTAGCAAGGACAACGATCACTTTGCACGTTATAGTTGAGAATAGGCCAGAATGTTTTCAACACGTTGCGCCTGCCGAAAGGAGCAACATGCAAACGTGGACCTAATTATACACCTACGTGGTTAATATAGGTCGGTCATTTTTTTCCCCATACCTATTTAGCATAATGAGAGGTGGCCTTCGACTAACCCACTTTTCCTCAGGGAGTCCGTCTGTCAGTCTGTAGGCCGAAAACCATTGAGCTTTCGCACTGCAAGCGCAATGAACGCATAAACGTGTCTCGTTATAAATTTAATAAAATCACGGCTACGTTAATTTACTACGAAATAAATCCCCAAACGTTAATCAATAACGGTGCCGAGTTCACTTTCTGTTTCTCCGGTCATTAGCAAATTACTCGCGAAGATGGCTCGCTTCTTTCATTTTCCACTGCCCCTTGCTGCTATTATTTGAGCCAAGGCACCCAAATTACTTTGAGATTGTTGTAGAGATCACAATTAAAAACACCAGATTAAAAATAATAGTATCGCGTTCCTTTTTTGGTAAAAATTTATGAAACTTGTCAGAAAAAGGAAAACTCCAATTAAACCAAAGTGCACCTTTTGTCCTTTCTTGACCGCCCCCCCCAATTCGTGCAAAAGTGCTCTCCTTTGTTTTCAATATCAATACACTTCTTGTATTAACCAAGTTTGAAATTGGATTCCAAAGATTTGCGCCTTGCGCCTTACAAAATAAGTGCAATAGCTCAGCAATACCTACACGTTTAATCCTTTGATCTTCCTTTCAACAAGCATAATAGACGAAGAGCTGGCTACATAAAAAAATGTTAGTTATCGTTAAATGGCTGATTTTCTTGGAAAGTATAGTATCCTGATACATAGTCAAGTAGAAATGGTCGTGTCTGCCAGCGACATCCCGTAGACAGTGGCGATCAAATATGTCAAATTTTAATAAAATTTCCGACTTTACGATTATATTAAACCTACCACTATTAACATTAACATTTTTGACTATGGTTTTTGAGAAAAATGCAAATTTAAAAAATCAAATAAATAGTTTAACTTTTCAATTTAAGGTTTCTCAAAAACTAAGAAACTCTAACCAATGTATGCTAAAAAAATTGACACTCTCAAAAACCCTGAAGATGGTAACCGACCAAAACCAAAACAGGGCGTTTGCGATTCCCTATGCAAAAAAAAAGAATGTATACAGGGTGTTTTTTTGGGAGCTCTAGTTAAACGTTTCTGGGAAAGTAACATAGGTAGGTTTTTGAAAATTTGTACTTAGGAGTTACTCTGAAGGCCGAATCGATGTAAAATATTTTCAAAATGACCGCACTTCCGGAAACACCGGAAGTAGATAGAAACTTCGTTATTTTAAATAGCAACCCCTATTTTTGGGTTCTACGTGAAATTTTAGTTCTTCTGATACCCATATGTCGATATCTGCCATTTATGGTTTTTGAGTTATTTTGACTTGAAGAAAAAAAAATGGGGGATGCAGATGGTACCTTGATAATTGATTACTGAAAACGGTTGTAGTCATGGCATATCATAAATAACAATTAAATTCCAAAATAGGTGAAACCACTGCAAGTCATTTTTTGATTTTTGAAAAACTTATGTTAACCTATAACAGTAGGTGACGGATTAGTGTCACTAGATTTGTTTAAAATTCGATTGTTATAAAATCATGGCCAACTACTAAAAAGAAAATGCGAAAAAAAAATGGTATCAATTCAATGAAATGGGAATAAATCAGAAACTGTGAAAGATAGCTATAGGAACATGTAATATCAAAATATGCCAATTTCGATTCTCTACCTCATGCAATAGTAACAAAATGGTCATTCCATTTAAAAAAACTGAGTTTATAGACTTTGAAGTTTCTTAAATTTGGATCTCCATAAGTGCGGTTGTACGCAACTTAACTTTTCTTTTAAGTACACTAACAGAAAGCCCTATTCATTCTCTATGTACTGATAAAAATGGGTTGCCATGACTATAACCGTTTTCAAGTAATCAATTATCAAGGTACCACGTGCATCCGCCACTTTTTTCCTTAAAGTCAAAATAACTTAAAAACCATAAATCGCAGATATCGACATGTGGACATCAAAAGAACTGAAATTTGACGTAGAATTCCAAAATGCAATAAAAAATAGGGGTTGCCATTGAAAATAACGAAGTTACTATCTACTTCCGGTGTTTCCGGAAGTGCTGCCTGCCATTTTGAAAATATTTTACATCAGAGTAACTGCTAAGTACAAATTTTCAAAATCCTACCTATTTGACTTTCCCAGAAACGTTTAACTAAAGCTCCCAAAAAAACACCCTGTATACATTCCAAATGTCATCAAAATTATACGTTATTGAGTTATCGTGCAGCAGGCGTATAATTAATATTCAAAGGTCTCAACAATCCATGCTGTGAGTGGAATCAGGTGTATTACCCCCTCAAATTCGCTTGCTAAAGGTAGATGCGAAGATTGGAGGAACCCCTCATCCCTTGTCACGTGGTATTAGATTCATACTATACAGGGTCGCTCATAAGTCTGAAAACGGATGATTATCAGGGAAAATATATTGTATTTTTTAAAATGGAACACTCTGTATATTATTCAATATTTCAATTCTTCTTTCTCAATTTTAACCAAAATTTCTAAGAAACATAATGTACCCAAATTCAATCGTCCGGGGTTATCGAGTTTTGAAAATAAATGCTATTGTTGCTATTTATTGAATTTATTTATTTATTTATTTATTATCCCACTCTTGTAACTGGGCCCTCAACAGGCTTACGCCCAAGTACAGAGTGATTGAATGAAGAAAAATAATTAATGATCCCAAACAATCATAACAAACATCGGTTCTTTTTACCCGCATAATGTTTTTAAATGAAATTCTTAATGTCATTAATTATTGTACTTCATGCAATAAATTTTAAAACAATAGCGTCTATTTTCAAAACTCGATAATCCGAAAACTTAGGTGCGTTATGCTTCTTACAAATTTTGCTTAAAATTGATCCGACTGTATGGTGCGTTTCATTTAAAAAAATCAATTTTAGTGTGCCACGCTTTTATGATCAACCCTGTATAATACTTTTCAGCGTGTTTTTGAAAAACAAGTTGCGCTCATATATTTACTTTGGCTGCGAAGGTTTTTAAGTATACAGGGTGTTACATAATCGCATGTAAAAAAAATTGGGTGATAGAGGGGATCAAGACAAGCACTTTTTCCTAATAAATCGAGGGTCCAACGTGTTTCGTTTGGTAGCCACCCCCAAAGAAGTGGTGAAATTTGGATGTTTGAAATGTATGGCACCCAAAACAAGACAACATTTGAAAACTACTGGTTTCAACAGGATGGTGCACCTGCGCACAACGCCCTAATCGTGCAAGAATACCTGTATATAGTTGTTTTCGAAATAAAAAAAGTGCTTTTCAAGAAACGAGAACACGTAACTAATTCCCTAGGTATGCTTCGGCTCGCTCGGCATTGGCTTGCACACGCACAGCGAGTGACTGACACAAAAACAAGAAATTAACCATAGAAAGTGTCTAAAAAACACGATCTGGCCACATTTGGATCTGGAGGTTTCTGATCATGATACGAATCCAGCAATAGTTTAGTTAGTTTTGGAATTCACAAAAAGTACATGCTTTTTTCTCTTGCGCAATTGAAAAAATGGGTCTTAGGCACTCTTAAACGCTTAGTTTTTAAAGACACTTAACATTAAAGGCTTACCAATAGACCCTTCGCTTTTAAAATCCTTAAAATCCACCATTAAGTTCTCAAAATTAAAGGTCTCAAAGGCTTCTTAAGAAGGTCTCTTAAAGATGAAAAATCTGTATCATGGATCATTAAAGGTTTTCGACGAATATTACATAGCGTTATAGGCTCGAAAGTTGAAGGTTCTTACATCACTTAAAAAAAAGAAAAGAATCCCGACTCTAAAATCCTCTGGTGGAGTGTTTGAATCTCTAAAAAAATGGGCTACGACCGATAAAGGCTCTTAAAGACTTTTAGCGGCCCACAAACACTTTCAAAAGCTCTTCAAGACCATCAGTTGCCCTTAAAGCAAACTAAACGCTCATAATGTCTTTAGAAGACCATCGGGATGTACTGCAGATTCTTGAATACCTTTGAAACATCACGCAGACTTCTTACAGGATTTTGGAAAAAATTTTGATCACGATATAATTTGGTATTGGGAGGTTTTCAAAATGAAAATAACGAATCCAAAATAAGTTTTTGAAAATTCGAAAAATTCGGACAACAAAAATGATTTGCAACATGTATTTTGTCAACAAAAATGTCAAACAGTTTTTACACACGACGTTAAAAAACCACTATGCGCGTTTCCTTGTAGGAATCGCCTAAGAGTAGTATTTGAACAGGCCATCTCTAAGGCTTTTCATTAAATATTAGTTTTTTTATAACGGGTAGGTACATTTTGCACGTTGGAATGAGTTCAATTCTCTAGTTT